AAGTATTAACTAACAACATTAATATATGTAAAATGTGAAGATGAGAAAACTGTTGTTTTCTGAAGTCATCAAATCCTTGGAGTAAGGCACAATGGCCATCAGCAGGATAACAAATTTAAAGCATGGCTTCTACGCATACAGACCTTGTGGCATGACTAAATACCAAGCTAGTTTATTGACACAGTCAGAGAAGAGTGCAGAAGTAGTTTTAAGGCCTTGAGCTAGGCCTTAAAAATGGGTGTGATTTTGAAAAGTGGACAGAATGGGTAGGGAAAGCCATTATTCAGAGGGTGTAGACAACATGAACCAGCATGTGGTGTTGAGGAAGAACTTAGTGTGTGAAGGGGATGCTAGGCATTGACTGTTGTGAGAGATAATGGGAAATAAAATTGAATAGGCTAAGTGAAGCCAGATAATAGAAAACCTTCAAAACCAGAAAATTTGTCCACTTGACTTGATGAACAACAAAGAGGCATTTCAGCACCTTTATAGAGGAATAAGATTATTTTCTCCACCACTAGCCTACTTAGCCTGTCCTTTGAGAAGGGAAGGGAGTAGAATTCGAGTGGTTCTGTAGTTCTTTTGAAACAGGATGAACCTATCCATAATGATTATGTGGATGAGAATGGATCAATAAAAGTGGTAGAAATTACAGAGCAGCTGTGCTGCCCATTATAAGATCATGGCTGCCAGATAACGAATCCATCAAAGATTTGATGTCACCAAAAGTTAACAGTAGATGATGATGCAAGGAAATAATAGCTTTTGAACAGGTAGTTTCAAAAGGAAAATGTTTCTCATAGATCTGAAAGTACTAGTCAGATTGAAGAAATAAGTGGGTTTATCAAGTTTGTGATCCAGAAATCTAGTCAAGAAATGCCAGTTGCCAAGGCAGTTATTTCACGTAAGGTGCTCACTGTTAACAAGAAGCATGGTGTCCCAGAATGCTGGTTCAAGGGCACCTTGACTGAGAAGATGACACATCAGATGGATCAGCTTTGTGGTAAAGAACCTGCCTTGCTCCTCAGTGTTTACTGAATGATTTTGCTGTAGTCTAGCTTAAGGTAAAGCCATTTCATATGCTGGATCGGATAAGCAGGTTTTTTTTGTTTGGTTGGTTTTTGCTTTTTTTTAATGCATTTTTCTGTAGCAGTGTGCATAGTGGTCAAGAAACCTGTTGTGAATGAAATCTACCAAAAAAAAAAAAGGAAAAGAACTCATCACATCATGGGACTTAACTCCTCTGTTGTTTTTAAAGCTCTCAGAGAACCCAGAGAGAGAATGCCATCTGGTGTGGTTGTGTGAGTTCAAGAAAGAGGCTGGAGGAAATCTGAACTTGCTTTAGACTGATTGATAATTGTGTGAGGAAGAATGTATGGAGCTCTTATTTAAAAATAAAAACCAAGCATGCTGACTTCAGATGCTATTTTTATGGACATTTAGCGAATATCATGGGGGAAAAGTTTTGTACGTTCAGCAGTTTGGTGTTTATACTTGGGGTAATGGCCTCAGAAGGTATGTTCTAGACAATGGTAACAACCTGCATTGAACAGTGGACTGACTGGCCGCTCACTGGCAGTCATGCCCTGGGACCACATGGAAAAATGAGAAAGGCTTCCAGAAGGGCTGCAGATAAATGGAGGACTAATGGTGACCCTCAGTGGCAAGAAGAGGAAGACTTGAGCAGTAGCAAAGACAAGAGTAAGAATAGCAAGAACATTTGTGAATAAGGAATTTTTGTTGTTGTTGTTATATAAGTAACAATAACATTTGGTGTTTCATATGACAGGGTAAATAAATTTGTGATTTTTCATTCCACTTAAGTTCAATACCATTGTATATTTAAGCATTATTTGCCAAACTTATCCAGTTACAAGAATCACCTGAGACCCTTGTTAAAAATACAGGTTCCAAACCTCCCAGAATCAGTCTCCAGACAGGGGCCTTGGAAAGTATATTTTTAACAAATGCTCCAGATGATTTATATCCTCGCCCACATTTAGTAAACACTAATTTAAGCCAATTCACTAAGCCTCAATCTTGACAGGTTGTCATAATTTTAAGCTAATGTATTATATGGAATTCTCCTGTTCCAGTAATAGATCTATTATGTGGCAGTAGAAGTATGACAAATATTTATGTTGACCAACTGCCGTAATTTTAAGGTTAATAGCTTGACCTTTGTGTAGCATTTTCCTGTCCCATAAAAGGCATTGAGGTACCACTATGTCAAAGTAGAAGTGCACTCAAAACTAAGCAGTGTTTGGGCCCGTGAGTTGCAGAGTGGCTGTCTGTATCTCCCACTCCTCCCCTCTTGCCTCTTTTCTGGTTCTCCTGTTCCACTTTGCCCTCTTTTTTTCCCCCCCTTCAACTTGTCCTCCATTACCTCTCAGAAAATACAACCTTGAGTTACCAAGGTTTTAATCCTAAAATATGGATCAGCTTTCTAAGTATAAAATGTAAAACTTAAAAGATGACCAGGCCTCTTGTCCCGTCAGCATTGGAGCTTAGCTTCCTTTCCAAGCCCTCCTGTGAGTTAACTCAGTGGGGCCCAGGCATGGCAGTGTCTCCCGCTAGAGGCAGTCTATTCTCAGTTTTCCCTGCCAGCTGCCAAACTAGGTGATTTTATCACAGCTCAGTAATTCTTTATTCCGAGTCATTAGGGAAGTTTTTTTGCGTTATTTCTCCCTGAATGAAGCAATTCTAAATATCTTCATCCCGTCATCTTAGCACAGTCACATACCATGAATTCTAAGGGATTTGAGTTACAGAACTGCAGTTAATACACAATAATGAAGGATCTTAATTTTCATTTTATTTTGCATCCCCATCTCAAAGTTGCTTTTCTTGTTTATAGAAGATTATCTGTCTTATTAAGATAGTCATTTTCCCATTCTGTCTTCCTTCCAGGAATGCATATCCTCAAGGAAACATTATCATCTAAGAACATTTCAGTGTGGCCTCAAAGTACTGAAGCTGCTGCGGCCGTCTTTGTCCAGCTCAGTAGTGCACGTTTTATCCAAAGGGCAGTCTAAATGGAAACATTTTAGAAGGAAGATGCCCTTTCCTTTTGGTGGTTATTTTCTATTTGGATAAAAATCTTATACAGCCTTATGGTGCTGTAATAAAACTATACGTAGGTCAGTGTCATTATTGCAAAATGAAGAGCCTCAAAAATATCCAAGCTGACTTGTTTGTTTTCTTTTGAAATAACTGGAGGTTGTGTCTCCTTCTCCAAACCTTGTTGGTCTTTTTGTTTTAAGTAAGTCAAAGGTCTGGCAATGTCAGAAAACAGGATTGGTACAGACAGTAAGCCCAAAATTCCTCATAAAGAGAGAGCAGATGGTCTTTAAACTTGTAAACATACAATTGGCTTTTCTCTCTGCAGGGATAAAATGTCTGACCACCATTCTGACATCTTCTAAGAAAAGCAGGCACATGTCTGTCTACTTCTTTCTCTCGATTGCCTCACAGGCAGATTCCATTGTGGCCTCCCTTGATCTTGTGCCTATTGTCACTTTTAAGTGTTATTTCTCATGAGCGTCTTTGGGTTTTCTTGAGGATATTTTTAAGGCAGTTACTTGGTTAACTTTAGATATTCTCAGCGTCCTGAGGCAGGTGACCAGACAGCTGACTGGGCATAAGAGGGACTGGTATCAAATCAGAGGCAAACTCCCAGGGCACTCCTGCTTTCTAGTCCTTACAAGTCCTTGCATTTGCTTAGGAGCTAGGAATCCGAAGAGCTTGTTTCCTCTCCGTAATTGGGCATGATCCTTCCAAATCTCATCTTCCCTTGCCTCCTTATCTCCAGTGCTACCCCTTTCTCCACTCTGCTGTAAGCAAACAGTAAGATCAGCTGATTGCCTGAATTTTACTTCAGGGTAAAGGAATGTAGGCGCATAGCACACGTACTGACAAGATGAATCACATACCCTATCTTCAACTTTGTTACCCGTGGCACAAGCCTGAAGCTTTAACTGTACTTTTCCTGGGGGTTCCCTTTGATCATACCTCTTTGCATCAGACCTTTCTTCTTGGCCCTGTTCTTTAAGACTAAAGCTCTTCATTCTTCAAGGCTGGGCTACCACTCTTAGACCATCATTTTCCCATTTTGGTTTCTGGATGAGTAATGACCTTTCCTCTTAAAGTTCCTCATTCTTTCTATCCTTTCTACTTCCTGGCCTCCATTTCATTTCTGTTAAAACTACTGTTTCAGAAACCACCTTCCCAACCTTCTAAGCCTCTTCCCTTGGACTCTACCTCCATACCCACCATTTTATTCCTACTTTTTCCTTCTATCCCTTGCCCTAAAGTCCACAGAGAAGTTGGCCCTCTACGCCCTGACCTTGACTGATCACAGGCTTCTGTCCCACCTCCCCATTCCTTAATTCATCACCCCTAGTTTTCTCCCAATCCTTGTCTCCCCCTCTTTTTGTGTCTGGGAAATCAGGTTCTAAAAAATTGGCTTCCACCCCCTCTTTCCCCTTGGAAACCCTATTTATAAATTTACAGAACATATTTGCATATTAGCAATAATCATTGTCTGTCTTATCCTATCAAAGTAGACAAGTTTACATTTTAACCAGACCTCTGCTTACTCGGGAGAAATTCATGCCGTAAACTTCTGTCTCATTCTTTGGCATTCAAGACTGAACTTAGACATGAATGTGTACTAAATAGCACTTTTTTTGTTTTTTTAATGGAAGCTATTTTTGCTAGACCATGCAAATGAATTGGCTAGGTTGTTCGAAGGCTTTGCCAGGCAACAAGTTTGAACTGCTGCGTCTGACCCTGAGAGTGTTTCCGCATGTCTGCAGTTGCACGCAACTGTGGGTTTCGTTTGCGAGCAACAACATTGATGCACTGAAGTTCTTGCTTCCACTGTTTTGGCCTGTTTAAAACTTAATAATAGTAAAAGTTCTCGTAAAAGACTACTCCAGAAGAACGTCTGTGATCAATTGGTTCATGTATTAAACCTGCTTTCTTTACTTTCATTTCAGATTTGTCCAATATGTGCGGCATTACCTGGAGGCGATCCTAATCATGTCACGGATGACTTTGCAGCTCATCTTACACTTGAACACAGAGCCCCTAGAGATTTAATATCCTTTTAAAAGGCAACAACGGAAAGAGTTGTTTGTAAGACTTGTCATTTTGATTATTTTGAAGAACAATATCCCCAAAGAGAGAAAAGCTAATCTTCAAATGTTTATTATTTATTCAGCCCTTTCCTAAAAGTGACTTGATGTCAAGATGCAGTTTCTTAGGTTTCTTTTTCTATGCTCTGAGTGTCACATGAGCCATGTTTATTAAGTGAAAGTTGACTTGCCCATCCTCTTTAGTTCATTACAATCATATATTTTTTAAAGGCAGTTTGACCATGTCTTGCGTCCTCCAGGTGAATGTGTTCATACCGAAAGAGGGAAATGTTAATCCTAATTAAAATCTCATTAATTAAATATAAGGAAGATTTGCTTGCTTGCCCTTTCTGTTCCTCTGCTGACTTACCCTGTTGCTCCCAACACCTGTGGTGGGATGATGGCGGGGCAGGCATGCATCTTGGAGCTCCTTTCCCTTTTAGGGTCCCCTTCTCCAGAGAGAGCCATTTTTTGCGCAGTTTCTGAGTAGGACAGCGTAAAGCAAAATCCAGATCTAAATTCCTTTCCCACTTTCATTTCTGCGTCCCCTTCCCAAGCCTGTCTCTCAGCAGTCCCTAGCAGGTTCCCTGGAATCGCTAAGAGATTACTGGTCCACTAGAGCAATTAATTTTGTAGATTTAATGCTTCTGGTTTCAGATTATGACTTGTTTTTCTAGAACTATCACCTATTTAGGATTTTGTTCTTAAGTAAAGGCTTCAGTGGTCCTTGCAGTTTAAAGCAATTCAAGAGTTAATCACAGCTCTTCCCCTGCCAAACTTTATCTTCATCCTTTTGGTTGCCTCCTGGCAGTGATCATTCAATCTTAGACCTGTTGAGGAAGAAACTGGCTTGGTGGTTTTCTAGTCCTACTGCTCTTGTTCCTTGTTCACAGTTCCTAATTTTCTCTTTGCAAATATGACCCTTTAGATTTAGGAGAAAATAAGGGGAAAGATAAAGATAATGGTACTAACCTGAGAAATTAGAGTGTTAGCCTAACCTGAGTTAGTCCAGGGACTATTATGTAGTGAACAAAGGAAACCACTCTCCCTAAGTGTAAGGGACGCTGAAAACAAAATGAAGAAGAGAGTGACTCTTTTTTAGAGAATTAGGAAACTTAAATGAGTCAAGAATACTCAAGCCTTTGAGTCACTTTGCATTTTGCATGAAAGAATCCTTTACGATACCCAGAAGGTTATGCTTGATCCATGCCTTACTCCACCTTCCTGAAGAAACTAGACAAATGACTTAAAACCAAGCTGACATCTGAACTTTTCCACAAGTCCAAGGCCCTCTGGTGAAATCGGTATCCATTCAGTAAATGTCCCACATCATCTACCTCAGTTGTACAAGATTTTTGTAAGCGTCTCTAGTTACCAAGAAAGATTAAATTACATAGAATACAAGAATAAGAGAGAACACATGTATTACATTTTAGATTTCTACTAAGTGTGACCATTAAGTTCTAGAAATCAAAATCTTGGCTTGAGTTTTCCCTGAGAACATACTAATTTTTCAGGTACTTCAGGTGTTACTATGTAGTAACTCTGTTTGACATCAAGGAATGCCCTCTAAATCTTAAGCACCATATCTTTTTTTTTTCTCCCACTATTTTGATGGAACTCTTTTTAATATGTATGTCACACCCAGCTACTTTTTAAGAACACAATATAATGACCATAACATTACTTTCTGTAGAACCCAAACCATCGTCATGAATACCATGGTGAAACAGCACACATTACAGTGCTACCTGAGGGCCTTGGGGCCATTTGCCCGGTCACTAAATGCCTGCAGAACCATCAGCTGAAACACTGGGAAGCCAGCAAAAGAATTAATTTGCATTATGTAGCTGTTCTGTTTGCTATATAATATCTAGCTTTTCACTCACACACATTTGCCTGTTTGGAAACGTAGGCTGTTCATGAATTTTGACGGCTCTTTGCCACTTAGGGCCTTCTTCAGCTTGACTCATATTTAGCTGTGTAAGATGGTTGAGGCTTCTGGAAATTTGACTTCTTGATAAATATAATGGTACTTCTTTATCTCCACTTACACAAGAAATTCAGATCTCCGTTTTGCTGCTTCAGCAGCACTGTGGGAAGAGCTTGAGGAAATATATGAAATATATGAGATCAGGGTAAGGGCATGTTTTTTCCTGGATGTCTGACGATGCAACACCTTTGACCACAGTACTACTCTGGTCGTTGTAGCCAAAGCTGAGGAAGCGGTTTCTCCCACCTGGAGAAAATTCCCTTTGAAAACACACTCCCAAACAGTATGCACACACACTCACACATTGTTTTATATTTGAGTGTCTTTTTTTTAATTTACTAGCCCCCATAAATATAGTTGGGACATTTGCATTCTAAATTAAATGTGCTATTTTAAAATAGCTTACAGTTTAGAAAATCTTCTAGCAAAAGCTCAAGTGGTATTTTTCCTTTCTGTGAAATCCTTTGGTCTTTTTCTTAACTTTTGAGTTATGATGAGTCGAGTGGTGTTCGACATGTACGTAGAATGTTTCACCCTGGCCGGGGATTAGGAGGTCCTCGTGCTCGTAGATCAAACATGCACTTTACTAGCAGTTCTACTGGTGGACTTTCTTCTTCTCAGAGTTCATATTCTCCAAGCAATAGGGAAGCCATGGATCCTATAGCTGGTAAGTTAGTTTCACATTAATAAAGGAAAATGGTGGGGGGGTGCTCATTTACAAAATGTTTTGTGGAGTTGTGTTCCTAGTGTTACTCCCTGATTACACTCCTATATTCCTTCACAAAATTCCCAAAATACATTAAAAGGGGACAGTTAACATAAAGAAGTTCTTATTGTTCTGGCATTTCTTCAAGCACTTGGAGGCATAAGATAATAAGACATGACTTCTGGTTATATTTGTGGCCTCCTTTGAAGCCTGTGGAAATTATAAAATATTACAAAATTGAAAGACCTCCAAAATTCCATGGTTTAAACTCTGCAGTTACACACACACACACACACACCAAAAAAAAAAACTAATAAGACTAAAAGATTAAACTCTTTTCATTGAAGAAAATAAAGTAGAAATGTCTTTGCCCTTGGCTTGATTTGAGAACTGTATTGTGGACTATGTTGAAAAGTACATGTTCTAATAGCTTGGGAAATTTTTATTTAAAAGAAGAAAAGTTGAACGTATAGTTTGAGGCTGAGTCCCTGGTCTAGTGCCCAGCGACCTGGGAAGCCTGCAGCAGAGCACAAGGATTGGGAGTCAGAATAAATGGTCAGAAATCACTGTAGCCTGAGAACCTGCAAGATGCACTAAGCAGACAGATGGTGAGAATGTGGAAAGTCTGTGCGAGTGCAAATCATTGGGTCTCAAATGTGTCTAGATGGTAGAATGTTTATCTGGAAACCATGATGCACCTTGCAAAACACCATGAAATACTGATGTTTAAATCCATGATATAAACGAGGAACGATTTTACTCACAAATACTCTTTAAAACTGTGAGATTAACAGGATAAAAATCTCAATTCCAAATGTGCTTGTTCACAAAACAATAATAAACTTGAGTTTGGGGATTTTTTGTTGTTCTTGTTGTTGTTAATATTTCTTTGTCCCTTTATCTTTGGTAAAAGCAAGCTTCAAAGGTTCAAGTAATTTCTGGGAGCAAAAATTTAAAACTGAGAAATTCTCTCCGTTACTTCCTTTTTCCTGTCAGTGAAAATTAGTTTTATTTTAATGATATATTCCGTGAAAGAATGGTATAAGAATGCCTGAGATAAAGCAGCAGTGAGCAAAAAAGCAGAAACTTACCCTGTTAATAAGTTTTAATTGTGAAGAGCATTTGCTGGTAAGTACAGCCTTACTGAAACAAGAGCCTAAATCGGAACAGGCCATTGAATAGCCTGTAAGGTTGAGAGCAACATGTTCTCAGGAGGAAATTAGCCTTTCTGAGAACTGCCAGTGGCAATTGTAGTGGTACCAGAAGTACCAGTGGAAGAAGGCAGAGGCAAGTGGTCAAGGGACACAATTAGGAATGATCCAGGCCTCTTGGATCTAATTTGAATAATTTATTAATCATTTAATAAGTGCCTACTATGTGCCAGGCACTGTTCTAGGACCTGGGAATATAGTAAACCAAGTAGGGTTGTATTATGATTGGACCAGGAGATGAAACACTTCACTATACAAAAATACTAAGAGAAGGTATAACTAAATTAGTCTATTAGGCAAATAATTTAAAAAGCAATTTGTTAAATCTTTTGCTTAAATTAGGCAGGCCTGTAAAACAAACAGCAACACATGTGAGGAAATGTGCTTCTTAGTTCAATCAAGTATACGAGACCAAATGGGCAACAACTGCCCAAAAGCAAAGACGAAAAGGCAGGAAGGGACAGGAAAACTGGACAAATGGACACAGGGAACCTGGAGTGGAAAGGGAAGAGAGTGCTGACACATTGCAGGGATTGCAGGCAATGTCACAAAACAATTTGAATATAAATTTTTTAATGAGAAACTGATTTGTACTTTAAACTTGAATCTGTAGCACAGTAAAATTTTTAAAAAATCGTTTGCTTAAAATAAAAGCACTTGTATTTGGGTTAATATTCGTTTACGTTTGCATTCCCCGTACACAACAACTAATGCCTCCAAGAGGCATCTAAAGGGTTTTGAGCTCCCAGCTGAATGAATAACCTATCTATTCATGATGCTTTTTAATGTTCCTCTGTAGCATTTTATTTTCCTGAGTATTTAAGTAGACTAATCATCTTCATTTCTCTTGGCAGAGCTTTTATCTCAGTTATCAGGAGTGAGACGCTCTGCAGGAGGACAGCTTAATTCTTCTGGCCCTTCTGCTTCTCAGTTACAACAACTGCAGATGCAGCTGCAGCTAGAACGGCAGCATGCCCAGGCAGCACGGCAACAACTGGAGACCGCACGCAATGCAACCCGGCGTACTAACACAAGCAGTGTCACCACTACAATCACACAATCCACAGCAACCACCAACACAGCTAATACAGAAAGCAGTCAGCAGACTACCCAGAATTCCCAATTTCTCTTAACAAGGTAGTTCATTTATTAATATAATTTTATTTGAGAAGGGATGTTTTATTAGCGCTACACAGTCTGAAATCTTTTCTCTATTGTGCATATACTCACCTACTCCTCACTTATTGACTCTGTCGTTATCTGACATTTTGCATTTCCAACAATAGTAAAAAATCTACTGTCCAGCTATTTTGCACATTAACGACGTACGTCTGGTAGTAGCGAGTGCTGAAGTGCGAGGAGAGAGTAACGCTGGCTGTGATGGTTAGGGTTAGGTGTCATCTTGGCTGGGCCATGATTCCCAGTGGTTTGGCAGTTATGTAATGATGTAATTTGGCCATTATGTAATGGTATAGTCATCTCCCATTTTGTGATCTGATGTCATCCTCCATTTGCTCATAACACTGATTTTGGCATAATGACTTGGTCTTTGGAACCTAACCGTGTCCGTAAGTGAGGAGTGGGTGTGTATGTTCTTAGAAACTCTTGGCTTTAATCAAACCATTAACACAGATCTCTAGTCAAAACTGCGTATTCACAATTTCCCCAAGAATATGAAAAATAATATTTTAGATAAAGTAGGAATGCTGGTTGACTTGTTCTCATAGTCTATCTCATCATCTAATATGAGTTTCTTTTCCCATATTGCCCATAAAACTTAAATACCGTATGTTACATATATTGGTCATATTAGGTACATTTATTATCATAGTTAACATTGCTTTCTTTTTATTGCCAACTTCAATCTGCTGTGAAATGTTGTCGTTGTTAGCTGCCATCGAGTTGGTTCTGACTAATAGAGACCCTATGTACAACAGAAGGAAACACTACCCCATCCTGTGCCATCCTCACAGTTGTTGTTACGCTTGAGCCCATTGTTGCAGCCACTGTGTCAGTCCATCTCACTGATGGTCTTCCTCATTTTCACTGACTACTTTACCAAGGACGATGTCCTTCTCCAGGGACTGGTCCCTCCTGATAACCTGTCCAAAGTACGAGAGACGAAGTCTTGCCATCTTTCTAAGAAGCATTCTGGCTGTACTTCTTCCAAGACAGATTTGTTTGTTCTTGTGAAATATTAAATATTAAAATATTGAATGTGAAATATTAAAAGGTACAAAAGAGGATTTCATAATGCAGGGTGGTTTTCTCCTGAAAATTTCTAACAAAGCTGGATTGTAGTTCTTCTGGTTGGGACACAGAAGTAACTCTCAAAAAAAAATGTTTTACCACAGTATATACATTAAAAAGCCCCACTGGATGGAGCCAAGTTTTTATTTTGCTACTGAAACTACTCTTAACAACTGAATATATTCCTCTGCCAAAACCTTAGGCATTTTTGTGTGACTATTAAGAATATAAAGGATTTTTCAAAGAGCAGAGTTAGGCTCAACTTGGACTAATTTGGACTTTTAATGGAACAGAGAGGTAAAAAAAACATAAAATTAAGAAGAAAAATAGTGTGATATATCAACTGTCTTCAAAATAATATGTGTAACAATTCACTGGGATGTTAGTAGAAAATGTAATCTGTAGTTTCTTTTGTCTCATGCTTTTAAATATCTATTTTACTACAGTTATGGTTGTTAGGTGCTGTCAAATCTGTTCTGACCAATAGCGCTGTGTACAGCAGAATGAAGCACTGCCCAGTCCTGCACCATCCTCAAAATCGTTGCCGTGTTTGAGCCCATTATTGCAGCCACTGTGTCAGTTCATCTTGTCCAGGGTCTTCCTCTTTTTCACTGACCCTCTTCTTTACCAAGCATAAAGTCTTGCCACCCACTCTGGCTGTACTTCCTCTAAGACAGACTTGTTCGTTCTTTTGGCAGTCCATTCAGTATTCTTTGCCAGCACCATAATTGAAAGGCATCAGTTCTTCTTTTTGGTTTTCCTTATTCATTGTCCAGCTTTTGCATGCATTTGAGGCAATCGAAAATACCCTGGCTTAGGTCAGGCATACCTTAATCCTCAAAGTGACATCTTTAAAGAGGCTTTTTGCAGCGAATTTTCCCAGTGCAGTACATCATTTGATTTCTTGACTACTGCTTCCATGGGTGTTCATTGTGGATCCAAATAAAATGAAATCCTTGGCAACTTCAATATTTCTGTTTATCATGATGTTGCTTATTGGTCCAGTTGTGAGGATTCTTGTTTTCTTTATGTTGAGGTATAATCCATACTGACGACTGTAGTCTTTGATCTTCATCAGTAAGTGCTTCAAGTCCTCTTTGCTTTCAGCAAGCAAGGTTGTGTCATCTGCATATTGAAGGTTGTTAATGAGTCTTCCGCCAATCCTGATGCCACGTTCGTCTTCATATAGTCTGGCTTCTCAGATTATTTATTCAGCATACAGATTGAATAAATGTGGTGAAAAGATACAACCTTTACGCCCACCTTTCCTGATTTTAAGCCACACAGTGTCCCCTTCTTCTGTTTGAACAACTGCCTCATGGTCTCTGTACAGGTTCTGCACAAGCACAATTAAGTGTTCTGGAATTCCCATTCTTTGCTGTGTTATCCATAATTTGTTATTATCCACACAGTCCTAGTCAACAAAACACAAGTGAACATCTTTCTGGTATTCTTTGCTTTCAGCCAAGATCTATTTAATATCAGCAGTGATATCCCTCGTTCCACGTCCTTTCTAAATCCAGCTTGAATTTCTGGCAGTTCCCTGTCCATGTCCTGCTGCAACCATTTTTTGAATTATCGTCAGCAAAATTTTACTTGTGTGTGATATTAATGATATTGTTCGATAATTTCCGCATTCTGTTGGTTCATCTTTCTTTGGAATGGGTACAAATATGGATCTCTTCCAGTTGGTTGACCAGGTAGCTGTCTTCCGGATTTCTTGATATAGATGAGTGAGCATCTCCAGTGTTGCGTCCGTTTGTTGAAACATCTCATTTGGTATTCTGTCGACTCTTGGAGCCTCGGTTTTTGCCAGTGCCTTCAGTGTAGCTTGGACTTCTTCCTTCCATACCATCAGTTCTTAATCATATGCTACTTCCTGAAATGGTTGAGTGTTGACCAACTCTTTTTGGTACAGTAACTGTGTATTCCTTCCATCTTCTTTTGATGCCTCTTCCTACGTCATTCAGTATTTTGCCCATAGATTCCTTCAGTATTGCAACTCAAGGCTTGAATTTTTTCTTCACTTCTTTCTGCTTGATGAATGCCGAGCGTGTTCTTTACTTTTGGTTTTCTAACTCCAGGTCTTTGTACATTTCATTATAATACTTTGTCTTCTTGAGCTGTCCTTCAAAATCTTCTATTCAGCTCCTTTACTTCTTCATTTCCTCCCTTTGCTATAGCTACTCCACATTCAAGAGCACGTTTCAGAGTCTCTTCTGACATCCATTTCGGTCGTGTCTTTCCTGTCGAAAAATTAATGACCTTTTGCTTTTTTCATGTTTGATGTCCTTGATGTCATCCTACAACTCATCTGGTGTTCAGTGTTCGGTACATCAAATCTATTTTTGAGATTGTTTGTAAATTCAGGTGGGATATACTCAAGGTCATACTTTGGCTGTCGTGGACTTGCTTTAATTTTCTTTAGTTTCTGTAGTCCTACTTACATTTATGTAGGACTTTGCAATTTGCAGACCATTTTTCACACCTTTTATTATATCATTTCATCCTCTGTGAGGGTCAGCATTATTCCTGGTAGGAAAATGACTCATATGATTAATCTAAGGTAATATTTCCCAGAAGATATTCCCTGGCACTTTATAATTTCTGAGGAATATATATAGTTAATTTTTTTTCCTAATGAATAAATTTGGGGAAAACTAAGTAACAAAAAAAAATGAGTTTATCTACTGTTGGGTTTCTCAGAACTTCAAATATATTAGCATGCATTGTGAATCTTCAAGGCAAGGAGAGGCTGCATTACTTACCAGGGGAAATCCTGGTCTCTGGTCATACAGCTATTATGTGATGTATGTAGGGTTCAAGCCTTGTTTTTGGTCTCTTCTTTGACTGGGGGTAATTCCTTGTCATGTTGGGGGAGACAGTTTTTTGGGGTCCAAGATGGTTGACCTTTTAGATAATGATTGTTTAAGGATCTAAGTCAAATTCCAGTCCTTGGGTAATGGGCCCACCTGGTTTTGCTAATCCCAGTTTGAAGATCACGACAAGTTCTGCAGTTCCTTCTGCATCCCAAATGAAGTTAAGCCTTGGTCCAGATTTTATCTGCCCTTACAAGAATGAGGCATTTCCTAGGTTATTTCTCAGATGATCAAAACAGTACCCTTCCTCAATATTGGAATCTCATGCTCTTCAAAGGAAACAATATTCTTTAGTGGCTGGAGGACACATCCTCTCTGTTTCTAGTTTTCCTGCTTTCTGTGTAGGTAGTCTTCTGTATACCCTTTATCTTTCTATAATAGACTTTTTTTTTCCCTTAATTATAAACCTTTCTCAAAGCTAAGGACACAGAATGTATTTTAGTTCTTAATTCTTGACACTTTTGGTTTGAGACTAGCCTATCATTTAATCTCCTATCTCATTAGATACTCTTTTGTAATATTAATAATTTGGTTTTATCTATATATCTCCAGTCATTTCTTTTCAATGTGGATTAAATGGCTTTTACATAATTCCAGTTCCTTTGCTTTAAGTTCTCAAATTTAGATCTTTTTGTTTTCTGAGCCATATATGTAATCATTCAATTATTTTGAACTTAATAGCTGTAAGATTGTGAGCAAGTAAGTTACTTAACCTCTGCTTAGTTTCCTCTTCCTGTAAAATATTGATAATAATAGAACCTAACTCATAGGAGTGTTGCAAAGATTGAAAGAGGTGATATATATAAAGCACTTAGAACAGAGTGTGGCCCGCAGTAGTAAGTGCTTACTAAGTATCCTTGATCATTACCATGGGGTGCCCATGTAACCTCAGCATTTGTAGGACCGATGCTGAGAGCAGGCTGGTAGAGGAGCCTGGAATAGAAGGCTCTCTGGCTCAGAGCGCACCTCTGTGTCCCTGCGGGCCTCCTTCCATTGTCGTCATCTTTTCCTTGTTTTGTTACTTTTCTTGACCCCAGTGCTCCAGCTGCTCTCGTTTCCCTTTCTTTCTCTGCCACTAAAAATATACTGAAAGAAAATCAATACGGAAACTAAGCAGAATTTTTTTATTGAAGAATTGACATTTTTAAGTCATTAAACAAGCCAGTAAGAGAAGTAGCAAATAGAAATTTCAGCTCTTAACGTTTGTCCAGTCTCCATGCAGATGAACCAAGTTTCCCAGCATAGCCCAAATCTCATAAATGCACGTCAGGTGGATACATCGGGCATTTAGACCTCATGTCTGCCCTACTTCACAGTCCCCAGTAGGAGAAATGCATAATGTGTGCGTGTTTTCTTGCCCTCCCAGATTTCTGAATATACCTTCATTTCAGGAAGAACTAAATGAAAGTAATAGAGAAAGTCAGGGAATAGTTGGGATTTTTTTCAGTTGAATATTCTGATCACTGCAGATTTTGTGTTTGTGATGAGAGTTGCTACTTTTTCTCCCCCTTTTTTATTTTATTTATTTATTTGGTGAAAATATATACAATAAAACATACACTGCTTCAACAATTTCTACATGTACAGTTCTGTGACATTGGTTACATTCTTCAAGTTGTGCCACCTTTCTCAACAACTTCTTTTCCACACTCTTTAACCATCATTAACGCAAACTCACTGGTCCCCTAAGATTCTCATCTGTCCTTTTGAGTTGCCATTGTCAATTTGATGACGTTTGGATAATTCTTGAAAAGAGTATAATGCTTAATGCAGACACTTTTTCTAATTAGGCTAAATTAATTTGGTTCAGAGATGACTTCAGGGAGTACTTTTGGTTCAAGGTTTAAAAGTTTCCCCAGGGCAATAGTTGCTGAGGGTCATCTGGCCTCAATGGCTCCAGAAAGTCTGGAATCTATGAGAAGTTGAAATTCTGTTCTGCATTTTCCCCCTTTTGATCAGGATTCTTCTCTAGAATCCTTGGTCTAAATGTTCAGTACTGGTAGCTGGGTGCAATCCAGTTCTTCTGGTCTCATGACAAGGGAGGCAGTTGCTCCTGGAGGCAATTGGATACATATTCCACAGGGCTGCTATTTTTCCCTTTTTCACTACCTGCAGGTGAAATTCTGGTTAGAGACATCACTACTTCCTTAATTATCTCATCTATTAGAAATTTTGTTTTTCCTTAGAAAAGTTTTCACCTCAGTTTTCTCTGGCTCTAGAGAGTGGGAGACATGTAAATTTTATTTTTCCTGTTGAATCCAATTAAAGCATAGATTTGCACCTCAGAGTAACAGTATTGCTACAGGTGTGGGGAATTTATCTCAACATCATTAATGTGATAAATTAGAGCAAGGTAATCAGATAGTATATCTCAGGTTCTGAATTTTGCCTCCAGTAAGCTTGCATAGTAGGGGCATTGTAGAAATTGGCCATGCCACATTGTTCATTGACTTTTTACCAATAAGATCTTTTCTTTTTAACTTACGCAGGTTGAATGATCCTAAAATGTCTGAAACAGAGCGCCAGTCCATGGAAAGCGAGCGTGCAGACCGCAGCCTGTTTGTCCAGGAGCTCCTTCTGTCCACTTTAGTGCGTGAAGAGAGCTCGTCCTCAGACGAGGATGAACGGGGGGAGATGGCAGATTTTGGTGCTATGGGCTGTGTAGATATTATGCCTTTAGATGTTGCTTTAGAAAACCTAAATTTAAAAGAGAGTAATAAAGGAAATGAGCCTCCACCACCTCCTCTTTGATGACATCCCAATTCGCAGACGATGTCCTCTGTCCTGTATTTGCCAATGAAAGTGGACGACAACTATCTTGGGTTTGTTTGGTGATTGTAATTTCAGGTCTGTCACTCTTGTTACATTGTGTACATTCAAAAGGAAGAGAGAAAATATATATGATAATCATTTCCACTTAACTAATTTTTACTTCTAGCAGGTAAATAAATGTAGGTAGCAGTGCAGGGGTGATCTCTGCTTCCTGTACCTTGACATGCAAAGGCTCTCCTAATACTCCACATTCAAACTGAAGAGGAAAATTGAAATCTCTAATGAAGCTGCTGTGTGTATTTATGAATATTAATGAATAAAAACTGCTTGGATGGTTTACCTTAACTACTGCATGAGGTTTTTTGCAGCGTGCATGAGTTTTAGTGACCTTGTTATTTAAAAAATTAAATACAAGGAGTAAAACTTAAAAAAAAAAAAAAAAAGCCCAAAGCTTTCCCAAGCGTTATTCAATGGCTGCGTTTATTCAGTGGTTACATGACAAGAGATGCTGAGGTAGCTTTTGAATAACGTCTGCCTGGATCACCTTTCTCTGTGGGCCTCATGTGCACAAAGCCAGCTCTGCAGTGGAATCTGGGGGGGGCGTAGCGGGTGTGGAGCTCCGCCCTGTGTGACTGTCCTGTCGCCCTGTGAGTCATCTTGCCTGTGTGGAGCTCAGCCTGTCTCTCTAACTCGTCAGTAGAAGACACGCCAGTAAAGCTACTGTCGGAATCTGCTGCGGGGGCGTTTGTGTGCCCTGAAAACCAATCCTGTTCATGTTTGTTTGAAGTTTTTACTTTTTGTGGTTGTTTAAAATTTTTCAGTTGTTAAATATGTTTTATTCAGGTGTCGATTAATTCATTTATTCACTGTTCAACAAAGTTAACCTGAATTATGTTGTCTTTGTTTTTAAAAAATCTCACATTCTCGGTCATACCTTGAGTTATTTATGTGTTTGCTTCATAGTTTGCTGAGACGGAGCAGTATCAGGGGAGCTTTGAGGATTTGCCTTCCCAGACTTTGTCTATATATTACAACCAAATTCTTAAAGCTAACTTTAGCACCTTTTATTTATTGGGTTTTTTCTGGCATAAAAAGTAAAGCCTTTTAATTGAATCATGCCACCTATATGCCTATATTATTAATCCTATGTGTAAAAAAAAAAAAGTACAGCTTTTAGGGGTTTGTTTTGGGGTTTGGAGGGGACGGGTTTTTATTTTCTGTTTCACTTTTTTTGCATAGCCTTTCACAATAGCTCCAAGGCAGGGGCAGCAGGTTTTGGGGCTGGGGGGCAGTTTTTGGAATGTAAATTTAGGACTCTTTAAAAAGGTGCGCACAGCTTCCGATAAATTTATACCTAGACTTCACCTAATCATGTCTCGTTCCAGTTCTCTTTTCTCTGAGCCCTTTTCTCAGTCTCCTTTCCCCCGTCATCCTTTCCCTTTCCTGTCTGTGTTCTTCCGTTTCTTCAACACGACAAGCATACAGACTGAACACCGTACAGTGTTCTTCCGAGAACTGTGAAGTCCATGTTCATCCAAATGTAACCAAAAAGAAGTCACCCCACATGTCAAAAAAACTGTCGCTTCTCCTGTGAAACTTAAGACCCCAGCGATTTCCAAATATAATAGCTTTGTTTTCTTTAGTTTCTGTGATGAAAAATGCTGTCAAGGAAAAATTTTACATCAACCTTCTGGTTATACTAGAAGTCAACTCCAGTACGGATTTTCTTTTTTTCAATTGGTTGTTGAGAAGTTTCAAAATCCAATTTTCAAGCTGTGGTCTTTTCAAACACATCTTCTGCATATAAGTCACACATTTCAATAAAGCATTTTCAAGACTGTTGACCACTTGAATTTCTTTGGTGTTGGTGAATCATCCTAACCGTTCTTCAGAGATTTTAGATTTCTAGTCCAGTAATTTTGTGTTTCTCTTTTTATGTTAAACATGGAAGTCCTGACTGTGTGAATGCATTACTTCTTGGATGTGAGAAACAGAAGTTGCCAATATATGTGCTTTCCCTTTTCTGCACAAATTCTGGGAGATTGTAAGATCCTGCTTTTTTACACGGTTTTAGGGAACAACTGTAAGTCCATTCAGGGCAATTTAATTTAGATAATCAGTTTAACATTTCAGAAGACCTAAAGGTTCATAAGATTCCATCTCATGTAGAATACTGTATATAAATTATTTTTTACCAGATATTTTACAAATACCTCACCTCATCCTGTATGTAATCAATAGTAATGTATTAGAGTAGAAAGACACAGAATATCAATATAAAAAATATATTTAAGCCCTTAAAATTCTTGTGTCCTTTTTCTTTAGTTTCTGAATTAACCTCATTATTGGATATACTACTGAATGAAAATAACTGGCAAAGATTTTGATGGAGAAGAGACAAAATCCTAACATGCCATTGTTTATTTTGGCCATACCTTGAAATTTCTAAGGACCAGCTCCTGAGTTTTGAGAGGTTTTGTTACGAGTATCTAGGATATAAGTTTATAAATGTTCGACGTGTTGTCTTCCTCTTTGGAAATAATTTAAACCTTTCTGCTCCAGGTGTTCTGGAAGGAGTTAAATTTCATGACTCAGAGAACCCAGAAAATTTATAGTGAAAGTTTAAGACCTACAGAGAATGTTTAAAGCTATGTTTCTGTTTCTTTGTGGTTTATGGAATATGCGGTGTGTTCAAGAATCCCAAAGTAATCCTTGCTGAATTACAGTTATGTGAAGGATATTCGTGGACACCACTTTCCTGGATATTAAATCACAAATAACAATGGAATACGGAATTTGACTGAAATAGTCAAATGTACTTCATAACTTCCTTGGATTGTTTTTCATTCATTTACTTCCCTAAAATATCTCAACTCTTTAAACAAATACCTGTGCTTTCTTCTATGGCTGCAGTCAAAAGATAACAATTGGTATGGCTGACTCCAGTGTAATCTTCAGATTTGTGTTTAGGTTGTATTGTGGGGTTTTCTTGTTTTTGAAAACCACTGAATTGGAACCTAGATTTGTCGCTAATGGAGTAGTAGATTCTCATTTATAATTAGGCTCAGGTATAGTAAGAGAAAGCCCCTCTCCCACTGGCCCCTAGAGAAATGTAGCTTAGGATGGTAGACAGTGTTTTTAGAATAACAGATGACACAAAAATCATCCCACTATCCTCTCCTCCTTCCAAATCCTTATTTCCTTCTCAATATTTGGAATTTCAATCACTTACTAAAACTAAAAGATTTTCCGAGGTCACTAAGCTTACTGTATTTTTTTTTTTTTTTTTTTTTTGGTCTGTGGGCCCCAGTAAAAACAGGTTAGGAGTTCAAGCTTTAGATCCCAAACAAAGCCAGACCCCCCACACAGTAAGTACCCCACTTCCTCTGTACAGTGTACTCCATGGCTCTGGGGATGGGTACAGGCTTCAGTAGTTCATAGCTATATTGGAGCCCTAAGGAAGAATAAGGAAATTGGGGAAAGGGTAGTAGAGGAGGGATGGTTGGAGAAAAATGATCTTCTAATGAGATCCCTTCCACAGAAAAGTGGTTAGTGAGAATACAGTAAATCTACTGTGTACTAAAATGGAAGATACAAAAGTACATTTCAGACACAATCCCTACTTCTGTAGAAGTTGCTGTCTACTAAGGGAAATAACAAAAGTGTCATTGGAGTATAATGTGGCTATTATGGGTCTGGTACAGAAGTATATAAAAATCTATCCAAGTGTAATGGAAGAGTGGGTGCTAAAATTTCCTGAAATATATCTGCTTTGTACGGGCAAATCCCACAGCATTAATTTCATGTGCATTAATAAAACACTAGGTATGAAATTTTCCCAGAATTATATACTAAAGTTGATGTTAATGCTGGCAAAAGGTAACACTTTTCAAAGTCCATGTAGACACTTAGAAAGCTGAAACAGCTCTCTCCCAAAGACGTGGGGGTTGTGGTGGGGGCGACACGTGCGAACCATTTCGGTAACCGAAGCCCTGTCTCCAGTTTGGAGTCGGGAGAAGTTAGGGTTGGAATGCAAGATGGAGCAGCACTTTCAGGCCATTTGTAGCAATATTCTGAGATCTGGGGCATTAAACAGCCTTATTTAAATAAGTCCTCTCAGTATTCCAAAGCCAAATTTACGTATCCGTGTTTTTCAGAGGAGCCCCTCGTGGTGCAGTGGTTAGGAGCTCGGCTGCTAACCATAAGATCAGCAGCTGTTCACCCTATGGAGCAGTTCTACTCTGTCCTGTAGGGTCCCTATGAGTCAGAATGGACTCGACAGCAACAGATTTGTTTTTCAGAAAAATGTAAAATCTAGTTGCATGCACCTATCAACTTCAGCATGCTGAAGAAATGCTTTGTTTCTGATGAGTATTAACTCTTGGTTCCTCTAGTTTTTCAGCCCACCTCTGTCAGATAATTAAATGTTCTATAAATAGAGACGTGCTTGGGGAGTTCCTCATTCAAGGAACCCTCCAACAAACTTTGGGTAAGTTTGTTGCCACTTCCTCATCGCGGTTGTCAGGTGTAGCTTTTGAAAGATTACACATCTCAGAGAAGCTGATCCTGAGCCTCAAATCCACATCTCATTCTAGTCACTCTCTGATGGATAATGCCTTGGTTAAGTTCCTCGAATGAACAAAGGAGGTTGCTCCCCTCAAGTCCTCAGGTTTTATCAAGTCAGTTGAACTTCACAGCAAACAGATCATTCAATTAGACAGAAACCCTGAAGTATGATTTTTGTGTCCGTGATAACCAGGAACCTGACAGCGGACGTGCCCTGTGGTTTGATGGCTCCACTCTCTATATAAACCTTTCTTACACACTAAACTTCTCCATCTCTCCCTTGAAAATAGCCTGAGTCAGTCTGCATGCAATCCTGGATTTTTTTGAGCTCCCAGTAGGTACAGAGCTTTGGCCTAAGCTCAGAGCATCATTTACAACCTGCAGCTTTCCAGACATCCCCTATAAAAAAGTTATTCAGAAACAATTTCCTAAAAGACCTTTTATCCCTTATCCAACTAGAGTCTTTTCAAAAGTCACCGATCCTGTTGTTTCTGCTGCTTTAAATCAGGCTAGCCTCCAAAGAGGTTTGAGATGGTGAAAGTGAGCTGCTCCTTTAAATCTTGCTACCAGGTTAAAACTAGAGTGTTTTGAATTCTGGCTTACACATAAGAGATCAGGTGGCATTTAGTAGCAGAGCTAGCACGAAACAGTTTACACATCCTCTTCTGTGAGCTGGAAACCCTGGTGGCGTAGTGGTTAAGGGCTACGGCTGCTAACCAAAAGGTCGGCAGTTTAAATCCACCAGGTGCTCCTTGGAAACCCTGTAGGGCAGTTCTACACTGTGAGTCGGAATCAACTGGATGGCAACAGATTTTGTATTTGGAAGTCCCAGCTCTCCTCTCAGATCCTTGGCACCCTGTATGAAAGGTTTGCTTGAGGTGATGCGACAGTCTTTCCAGGGCAGGATTTTGTAATACTCCTAAACGGATGGGACCGACTAAGCGACTAAGCATGCCTCAGCCGCTGTCCCTAAGGGCTATCCTACGTCAGGTAAGCTATTCTGACCAGTCCTGAATACCTTTAATTTCACCTGTGAAAGCAAGACATTAGATTCACCAATTAAAAACTTTTCATATGCAGTATGCTAATTAGCAAAGTGTTGAGTTGCAAAAGAGCTTGTGGTAGCTGCTGCTGCTGCTGAAGCATGGCCCAATCAGATGGCAGCTACCTGGTTTGCTGACCACTCTTTGAATTAAACTTGCAAAATGCCACACTGATTAGACAAAAGTATTTTAAAGTACATTACAGAAATTGTAACAGTCTCCAAGACAAATTTACACTGAACGCTTTAGAACGATCTTCTTTTATAAGATCACTACTTGCCCACCCAGCTTATATGTGGATTCTGATCTGAATATATTCTTGGGCACTTAATGTATCAACAAACTTTGTGTTCCATGCAGCACTCGCTGTTTCATTCATGTGAGTGGGTAATGGAGCTTGACTTCAATGATTGCACTGTGTTATTTTAAGATTCAACAATATGCTCAACAACAGCGTTGGCCACCGCTGGTGCCAGTGTCTCAGCCATTCTGGACGGAATTTCTATTTTTAATTCTCCTCTGCTTCCTCTCCTGTGTGTGTTTCGTGCTTCCAGTGACACCTGAAGTTTTAGCTCCATTTGCCTATAGAATTGTCGGGACCCACCCATGTTACCTAAGACCCATTGCTGGTAGCCTTTGGGATGGTCACAAAGAATATACATACTGAACCAGAAGAACTAGATGGTGCCTGGCTACCACCAATGACCACCCTGACAGGGAAAACAACCGAGAGTCCCTGATGGAGCAGAAGAAAGGTGGGATACAGAACTCAAATTCTAGTAAAAAGACCAGACTTAATGGTCTGACTGAGACTGGAGGAACCCAAGAAAGCATGGCTCCTGGACTCTCTGTCAACCCAGAACTGAAACAATTCCCGAGGCCAACTCTTCAGACAAAGATTGAACTGTACTGAGGGGCATAAAATGATACTTGTGAAGAGTGTGCTTTTTAGCTCAAGGTACATACATGAGACTAAATGGGCAGCTTCTGTCCAGAGGTGAGAAGGCAGAGAGGGTCAGGAGCTGGTTGAATGGACATGGGAAATCAGGAGCGGAAAGGAGGAGTGTGCTGTCACAGTACGGGGAGAGCAATTAGGGTCACATAACAACGTGTAAATTTTTGTATGAGAAACTGAATTGTAAACTTTCACTTAAACTACAACAATAAACAACAAAAAAAGAATATACCTACTGAGCCTGAGGAGTAATAGGGGGCCTCTGTCCTCAGC